ATTTAAGTTTTAATTTTATGATCCATATCAAAGTTACATGTATTTTATACAATTGCATGTCTTTTACAAAACCTTTCTGGGGGACAACACTTGTACCCTGGGAGAGACCCCCTGTACCACCTAGCAGAAGAGGGGCTCCACCCTCCTACCCCACCTACCTCCTGGCAAATAACAATGCTCGTCGCTCTGCGCCTAGTAAGAGTCCTTCGGCAGGACTAGTAGAATCTTGGAAGGACTAGTACATTTTTTCGTTTACTAGTCCTGTGGACTAATGAACTAAAATGGTTAGTGTCTAACCCTGTGTTAGTTACATATTATTGCTCATAGGGTCTATGTCCCCCAGGGTACTGCCAGAACGTACCCTGGTCACTATTTGATATGGTTAGGGTTAGGATTAGGTTAGGGTTAGAGTTAGGGTTAGGGTTCGGGTTAGGGTTAGAGAGTAGGCGTAGGCGACTCCCTAGACTCGTTAGTGGAGTAGACAAGGTACGGTCCGGCATATATATTAGATAGTACCAGGGTACGTTCCTGTATACCGGACCGTACCCAGGGTACGTTCCGGCAGTACCCCGGAGGACATAGAGTGCTAGACCCTCTCAGCCATATTATTATATATGCTAATATGGTTAGAAACAGTAAAACACGTTTTAGTACAAAAACTTGTCACATTTGTCTATAAAGGCTATATTGAGCACTAAAATAGCATCAGATAATCAAAATATCTAAGGCACCGACACTTGTCGACTTTGAAAGTAACCTGTATGATACAGGCGGTATGTTCCGCTTCACTACACTATCTACCGCCTGTACGCGAGCTCAACCCTGGCGTTTCGCAAGCCTCGTTATCGATCAGGCAACTTGAATAACTGCAGAAATGACGTCAGGCAAAAGCCTGCTCGCTGATTGGCTGATTGGCCCGTTACAGCTCTCTGATTGGGCGCAATCATTTCTTGTTTCGCGAAGCGGGCTGAAGAAGCAAGGGGTACAGGCGGTGAAGTGTAGTGAAGCGGAACCGGAACCGCCTGTATCATACAGGTTACTTTGAAAGTGACACTGACACTGTACTGTGTAACAATATATACGTTGCTATGGCGACCAATGGCAATGTGAATGTATAATATATCCAGTCACGCATATTTTAGTATAGCAGTTCGCAATGGGAACGTATACTATAATGTGTTGAGCTGAAGAATAAACTAGTACAAGCAATAGCCCATGTATTCACGGAATTTGCACATGATGAGAGGCGGCTAGCGCGACCAGGCTCTACGACTGTTTCACCTCGTACTTCTCACCACGTATTGAGAAACTGAATAAAACTCTTCATCGCGTTTGGTGTTAGTTACGCTCTAGCCTAAGCTACCATTATGTGATGGTGTCTAAGATTCAACGGAATAATGTTTAGAGAACCGGTTAGCGTGGGGGCAAAATAAATATTGGTGATACTCTTCACAATCTTTCATACTTACGAACGAAAATATTTGGCCGTCACCTGTGGCGATACACCCGCCACCTATCGACTGATAACGGTATACATTTTTTTAGAAAGAACTGTATTACATTTTATTTATAATTCTTATTTGCCAATGAATTACTCAATATTCGTATTCAACGTCTAATTACTTCATAATACAGTTGTTTTGAGAAGAGACATAGAACTGCAGACAGGTTTCAGATAACTTCCCCATGCAGTGTAGACTCCGTAAATGTATTGATCAAGCGTATAATAATTATTATATAGAATATAATTATATTTATTTGAATAAATGCTCCTGTTTTTCTCGTGGTAATTAAAACAGTGCTGCTGCCTTCACAACACAGCAGCTTTTCTCGTGTCAGGCTTTGAATGTCAGCTTGGCGTGTTGCCCACCGTCGCCATCCTATCTTTTATCCATATCAGCAGGAGTGAATAATAAAAGATATTTATTCGCTACTCTGCTCACGCTCGTGCAAGACGCCGTCGTACTTTCTTACTTCTTTTTCTTCTTGCTACGTATGCCGCTCACATGACGAGCAGCAGTCGATCCACGCGCGCGAATTTTACAGTCTTTATATTCTGATAAGGTTTTCGTGCCCATCAGGTTTTTTGGAATGATAAATGTACATGCACATAGCCTGTGTGTGTGCGTGTGTGTGTGTGTGTGTGTGTGTGTGTGTGTGTGTGTGTGTGTGTGTGTGTGTGTGTGGTTGTGTGTGTGTGTGTGTGTGTGTGGTGTGTGTGTGTGTGAGTGTGTGTGTGTGTGTAGTGTGTGTGTGTGTGTGGTAGTGTGTGCTGTGTGTGTGTGACTGTGTGTGTTGTGTGTGCCGTGTGTGTATCGTACTAAAATTCATCTACGTGTATGTAGTCAGTACAGGTCAAGAACACATGCAATAAAGACGATAATGTATATAACCGACAACATTGTTTACTTTCACAGATATGAAACCCGCTAGACATGGTTCGTGATAGGTATAAGACTCGGTATGATTTGATGTGTAAGGTTAGTGTATTCAGACAGTAAACATTTAGAGAACGACGTATAGCCTAACTAGCATATTATTTTTTTGGCTGATACTATTCTGGGGCATAATAATATTAGCCGTTACTGTAGATATTGAAGAATTAAATACTACGACGCGCATACGATAAATACGCGCATACGATTATACATTGCGACGCGCATATTACAAACGAATATAATATATATATATATTTATATATTTATATAAAGTTGGGAGAGCTAGGCAACTTCTGGCGCTCTCGCACTCCTCTACCACTATAACTGCATTATCAGGTATCTCATACATGGACTTGTCTTTACCGCGGTGACTTCCCTATGACATCTATATATTATCTGTATGACCTCTGCCGAAACTTTACACGTCAGAATAGTCTTTGTATGACCTCTGCGTGACTTCTACATGACCTCTGCGTGACTTCTACATGACCTCTGCGTGACCTCTACATAACCTCTGTGTGACCTCTGCACAGGCTCGGTGACTCCCGTCTGTCTCCAGTTCTCGTGAATATCAGCATAATATCATTTTCTATCTCGTAAAAACATTATGCCAACATTCGCGAAAGATGGAGCAGCAGCTATCGCCTCGTGTGACATCTCGCCTTCCACGTGACTTTCACGTGATCTCCACATTACGTCAGCGATCTTCGTAGACAGTTTCTGGCCGTGTCTGTCCACTGACCGGAAGTCGCCGTAAGCATCACTTCCGGTTCGCACGATGACAACCAGTGGCACTGCTGTCGCCTATCTGACACTGTCGCTTCTGTTGGCTAGGTGGCGCTACGGTCGGCTAGCATCTAGCAAAAAATCGCAGTATTATTCGCGTTCGTCCAAGATGGCTGCCAAACGATAGCGGATGCCGTACGTCAAGCCCACTGAACTAGAACAGTCAGTGTTCTAGTTTAGTGGTTAAGCTCCCCGTGAACCATGATGCGAATTAGGAAATAGAAGCAGCACGAGATGAAAAGGAGAAACAGAGAGCGAGTGTGGGGTGAGGTGCGGATGTGGTAGGGAGAAGGTATGGACGGGGAGAGGATAGAGGGAGAGGGGACGAGAAGAAGAAGGACGTGGCAGGGTCAGACAATGATGAAGAAGCGGCGATATAGATGCTGATGCTATGATATATGCTAATGCTATGATAGATATGATATAGATGAAGCGTGGAGTAAACACAGAGATAGATGGAGCGTGGGGAGACAGACAACGAGAGATGAGTCGTAGAGGCAGAAACAAATAAATGGCGGGTGGGGACGATGAGCGCAAACGTGAAGACGGTAGCTACACTAGAAATCAATCACATCAACGCTCCTGTTTTGCTACGATACGCCGTAGTAGCTTATACTGCAGTAGTACGCAGCAGCGGCGACGGCGGCAGTGGGGATGCAGGCGGCGGCGGAGGCGGCGGCAGCAGAGACGGTGGCAGCGGCGACGGCGGCAGCAGAGACGGTGGCAGCGGCGACGGCGGCAGCAGAGGCGGCAGTATTTTGAATTATAATGTGCGCATGGCCACGCGCACACATATAAATCCCTCACATCAGTCACCATGGAGATCAACAGCCGCAATCAATGTCCCCGCCACCTGGCGACGGCCACCTGCTTCTCACGTCACACGCGTCATGTGATTTATCGCTCCTCCCGTATTGGCGTTTCTTATATTCTTGTGCGCATGCGCGACATGCTTTGCGCGCTAGGTGAAAAATTCTGCAGAGTTGTCTGCGCGATCGATGGCGCCAAAAAAACCGGTAGATACATAAGCGCGGTGATTTTACGGCGAGTTACACAACAGTTTGTTATCGGCGGTTCATCGTCGAACGAAATCAACCTTTAAACCCGAGTGACGGACGTGGATTTGATAAGCAACGTGACTCCATCTCGGCACCTACGTGCTATACCAGATTCTTGTGAACGTATAAGAAACACACTTACATATATGCCGGCGCGGATTTAGGCCGGTTTTCACCGGTTTCCAGAAACCGGTCACAGGCTGGGTATCTTCAGAATTTACCCTCAAAATTCACCAGAATGCACCAAATATAGCCTAATTTTTTAAAAATTCTCGCGGGGCATGCCTCCGGACCCCCTAGCTGTGACTAGAACTATAGAAACTTGTCACCCAAACCCTCTGGATCCGCCCATGACTGTTGCACGCACGCACAAACGCCCGCACAAACGCACGCACCGACGCAAGCACACACGCGCGCACATACCCTCACACACACGCTCACATGCACTAGCATTTTAGTTGAGGACGTAGACGCAATATTAACTCGGCTGTATAAAAATAACACGGTATAATGTCAAGTGAAACTCTACCTTTCCTTGAAAATTGCAGAAGCTAAAGCAGCTATAAATAGCAAACTATGGGAGTACCGGGGAAAAAATTGTTAAACGTGACAATGAGTTATCACATATACACACAGAGATTATGAATGTTAAGTATGTTACTGATGTTATACATTACATTATTAATGTGATAACGTCATTGTTACGAAATGTGTACACAATTACATGTTATACAGTTATACCGTCAGTACTGATTTGTATACATACATGTAATACAATGTTAAACGTCTATGTTACTGATGTTCACATTACATTTATAGACGTCATGTTACTGACGTGTACACAGTTAAATGTTATAACGTCATAGTTACTTGATTGTACTACATACATGTGTATTACATGTTATAATCGTCATATTACTGATTGTACCATACATGTTATTTACATGTTTAAACGTCATTTTACGATGTGTACACAATACGATGTCAATTACATGATTATAACGGTCATGTTACTGATGTGTACACATACATGTTAAACGTCCATATTACTGATGTGTACACATTACATGATTACAGTATAATCGTCATTTACTGATGTGTACACATTAAATGTTATTAACATGTAAACGCATGTTTCTGATTGTACACATATATGTTTATTACAGTGTATTACGCTATAATTACTGATGTGTACTATTCATTTTACATTTTATAAAAATCAGTCATTATTTACTGGAGTTGTTAATCATTACATGTTATTACATGATAGACGCATATTACTTGATTGTACTATACTATGTTAATAACGGTTCATTGTACTTGATGTGTACACATTACATGTTTTACTTACGTCCATATTATTCTGATGTGTTACATCTTACCTTGTTATTTACATGTTAAATGCATGTATTGATGTTTTACTTACTATTTACATTGTTATTTATACTTCATATACTGATGTGTACTACATTACAGTTAGTATATTCGTATCGTCATATACTGATGTTATACTACTGCTATCTACTATTTATATTATGGGGGGGTTCATGTTAAAAACTGATTGTGTACCATGACATTTATTACATTTAAATACTGCATATTAACTGTTGATTTTACACATAAGGTATAACGTGCATGTTACTGATGTTACACATTGTACAGTGTTAGTAACTCATATTGACTGTATGTACTTCATTACTATTGAAACGTCATTATACTGATTCGTGACACATTACAGTTAATATTCATGTACTATAGTCATGTATGATTTGATTATCATTATCATTGTTATTTATATGTTTATAAGCGTTCATATTATTCTGATGTGTTATACATTACATGTTTATTACATATTGTTATTAACGTCATTATGTACGTGATGTGTAACACATTACATATGTTATTACAGTATAACTGGTTCATGTTACTGATTGTGACACATTACATGTATTTTACATGTTATTATTACGTTCATTGTTAGATTTGTATATTCATTACTATTTATTGTACATGTTATATATCATGTTACTGAGTGTATCACATTTACTATGTTAATGTATCATGGTTATATACGTCATGTTCTACTGACTGTGTACATCATTACATGTAATGTTAATACGTCATATACTGCAGTGTACAGCAGTACATGTTATACGCATGTTACTGGATGTGTACACATCTTACATGTTATTTACATTTAATTGACGTCATGTTA